CTCTCTCATCTTTTTAAGTGGGAGAACTTGCACAATTGGTGGCTGACTAAATACTTTTTTGCCCCACTGTAGTTCACCATATTAGAGTGCTCTGTAATTTGATAGATATAGTCTTCCACATACTAACCTTTTACGCTTCTATCTAATGTTCCTACCCCTCCTTTTAGATTCTTTTCAACTCTTGTTTTTTATATATACTTTCTGCTTTAAGACATATCTCTTTTATATCTTTGAGCTGTTCATCTTTTTTTTTTTAGATTATGATGTATCTTCTTTGCTTTTTAATTGACTGTACCCCACCCTCCTTATGCTGGGCTATGACCGTAATAAAGATTTGATTTGAATGCCTCAAAGCAGCTGCGTTTTTTTCCAGATTCCTCAGCAGCTTCTCCGTAGGTCATCTGGGAAAAGACGCATCTGCTTCCAGGTGTTATATTTGCATTCCCACACCCAACTCAGGGTGTGAAAGGAAATCACAATTGTTCCTATACAGCTTTGCAAACAGGGAGTCTTACTCAGGGATTTCCCCACAAATCAGCTTTCATAAATTAAACTGTTGACATTTCCTGGTTCTCTTGTGGCCAAGGACAGCATTTAAAAATTTGACCACGCTTCCTTCTTGGCACACCTACTCTCCAAAAGGGGAACTGTGTCCATTACTTTCCCTCAGCTTCAGTCTTCCATCTGGAATATGGAGAGATTAATCCCAATTAACCTCATTTTCCTGAAAAAAAGACAAGTCCCCCCCATTACCTTTTGGGGTTTTTTGGTCCCTTCAAGTTAGTTTTGACTCCTGGACAAGTCCCTGCAGTTTTCTTGGCAAGATTTTGGACACGGTTTGCCATTGCCTCCTTCCTAGGGCTGAGAGAGAGGGACTGGCCCAAGGTCACCCTGCTGGCTTTGTGTCTAAGGCAGGACTAGAACTCACAGCCTCCTGGTTTCTAGCCAGATGCCTTAAACTCAATAAGAATATTTTAAGGGAAGCAAATGAGGGGGTTTTTTTCTGTCAAATCTTCCTGTGGGTGTCAGGGGCATCTTCCTATAGGGCCAGGGTCCGAAAACTTTTCAGTTCATCAACCCCTTCATGAAGCTTCAGATTGTTCAGCGACCCCCAAACGTTTATTAAATGTAAATAGTTTAAATAAATACTACAGGTAGCCCTCAGGCTATGACCATTCATCCAGCGACCGTTTAGTGCCGTTATGACAGCACTGAATGAGGGGAACTTATGACGGCTCCTCAGAGTTCTGGCCCTCACAGCGTCCCCATGATCACGTCACTGCGATTTCTGACATTCCCTGCTGGCTTTCAAGAAGCAAAGTAATGGGGAAGCCAGCAGGAAGTCAGAAGTTGCTCCCACTCCCACCACTTTTTTGCCCACCCATGCTCCAGAGCACCTGCCCGTGGCACCCCTTGTCCCCCACAGCACCTGCACACCTGCCGGCCTGCTTGCCTGAGACTTCCACCTCTTCCCACTTAACGACCCAGGTGGTCTCTGGGTTACGATGGCAACCGGACTGCTGGGATTGCCATTGCTAAGCAATGCGGTCACGTGACATCATGCCTTACAATCATGTCACTTAGCGACCTAAATTCCCGCCCCAATTGCTGTCACAACCTGAGGACTACCTTGTAATAATAATAACAGCAGCAACTCCTTGGTTACTCCCATTAGCCCTCAATATTGACCACTTTGGAGAACCTTGTTTTAGAGTAAATACCGTATTTGCACAAATAAGGGAAAACTCAGAAAGCAACTGAAAACAAATCAGGGGTGATGGGGCTTCAGAAGAAAGAGCACAATTCTCTCTGGGCTGGGTGCTAACCAGAGATATACACCTATTTTTTAGGCAAAAGGCTGCACTAGTTCTTTTGAAGGGAGCGCTGCCCCAAAAAGCAGGGGAGGAGGGTGGATCCAGGGCCAAAATGTAAATTGATTTTACTGCACATCGATAGAAACGTTAGTCAAACTCAGTTCAAAAAATGAAATGCAGCGAATGGGATTTCTCCTGGTGTATTTATTTTTACCCCTTCTTTCCCCCTAAAAATTACCCTTCAGTGGCAATTTTTGAATAGGTTCTGGGAAACCCAACTGAGCTTTTGTGAGAGTAAATATCTGATACTATCATATCCTCTCCTGCTGGAGCTGTTCTTCCGGATCTTTGCATAGAGGTTGACAATTTTGACATCCGGCACCATTCCTTCCATTTTTATTGCTTCTGTTCCTTTTGCACATACTGTTTTTTTTTTTCCCTCATGCATTTCCATCACGAGAATCATCCCACCAGTTTTTAATTTTATGGTATCATATTTCCTTCCTGCAATAAGAGTTCAGTCTTATCTTGTTTATGAATTAAATAGAGAATGAAACAGGCATTGTGGAATGGCTGGGCTGCATTTAAACAATGTGCTTGGCTCTAAATCCAGACCTAGGAGGGAGGCGATGGGAAACCACTTCTGAAAAACCTTGCCAAGAAAACCTCAGGGACCTCTCCAGGCAGTTGCCAGGAGTCAAAAATTGACTTGAAAGCAGGAAAAAAAAAAAAGTGACTTTTGGAGGAGGGGAAACAAAGCTAGGGGAAATCTACCAATTACTTTCCTTAATATGTCCCGCATTAAAACCTTCAGGACAGCATCACCTGCCAGTCACAATTCTAAATCAGAAAGGGCTCGGCAGTTAGGGCAAGAAATATTATTCCAGTATGCTTTTTTTGCTGGCTTAAGGATTAGTAAATTGACTGAAACATAGTTTAAAACCAGTTAGGGTTAATCCAAATACAAATCAGATCCTCCTGGCTCCAACAAACCATGTGCTTTGGTGCTCCTTTCAATTCCTCCCTACATATTTGACTTGTTTACCCATTTCTGTAACCTGTTAGAGTTCACTAGTCATTTCAGAACTGCATCTCATGGCACAGCGGCCTTCCCTGAGCTGCATGTTTCTTCTGTTCCATGACTTCAGGTCACACATATTTTAAGGTTAGCCATTTGATGTCAGCTTGATAGGCTTGAGAACTTCCCCACCAAAGAAACAAGAAGTGGAGTCCAAGTGGAGTTTCTTATCCAAGTCTCTCCCTGCACATGTAATGTCACAGATGTGCTTAAAGCAGAGTCATTGCTATGATTGCAAAATACAAGTAGATGGTCTTCTCTGCAAGGTTACAGGCAGCTTCCCGGCCTTCAGCATATGACTCTGGTACAGTTCAAACTGTACATGTTGCGCTGCAGTCCAAAAAACAAGCTGGCACATGTGTCTGTGTTCCTGTGCATACTAATCCTGGCCCTTCCTTATCTCTCCTTCCTTTTTTGTAAGGTCACCAGCTGATAAGTAGAGAGGCAGGCAGCATTTACCAAAGAATCTTGGCTCTGATATGTGGAGATCTGCAGAATGCAGGAGCTCCCAGGGAGTTTTAGTGCAAGGTCCTGTCAAGGTCCTCCAGAGAAGCGTGGTTGAGATGAAAAGGTCCATGGGGAGCCCATGGAGAATCACTAAAGGGGGGAAAAATGAAGATTCAAAGTCTTTCTCTTCAAATATTGGAAGCTTGCCCTGCAGCATGTATACCTCTAAGCCATGTTTTCACTCAACAACCTGCAACTAAAACCTGAATTAGAGAGACATAGTCTGTGCAAAGTTTCAAAGAGATCTCTTTGCTTCAACAAAGCTTCATGAAAAGCATTTGAAACAGTGCAGACCTCTCCTGTCATGAAACAAATCACCAACATTGCTTTGCTTCAGGTTGCTCCAAGGCTCTCATCCAGCAATGTGGTCATCAGAGTAGGTTCTATACATGCAGAGAACATGACAGAGCTCAAAAGGGGGGCCTTCCCAGGTGCCCTCCACCCACTGAGTCAACAGAAAACTGTACCATCATGATACTGGCTGTCCCCATCACAGTTCCCTATTGTGCGTCTATTGCTTCTGTTCCATCACTGCAGCCATCTGGCTTCGTCCAAAGGAAATGGATGACAAGACAGATTTTACATACTTTGAGGTTGCCATGGGATGAAATAAGAGGAGAATACTGCTTGAACACCACTACTGTTAAAGACAACTGAAGCCTCTCCCACTCATGATCTGGATGAGATGAAGACAATGTCTTGAGGACCAGGGGGGAAAAAACATGGCATGTTTATAATGTGCCTGAGTCTCTGCAATAGACTCAGAAATAGAAACAAAAATCTGCAATATGGCAGGCATGGCATTGTGATCCAAGCTGTACCCCTTTTGTACAGGGTCACTGCACCTACAAAATGGGCAGGGCTTCTATCACAACCCGCCTTCTTGCAGATTTCGACATGGGCACACTCCACGGACACCACAGACGCTGTGGTCCTATAAAATTAGGGAGCAGCCGAATGGCCTCCCTGCATGGTACAAACACTTAATCAAAAAGATGCAAAACCATCTTGCCAAGGTCTAAAATTCATTCTACTAAATGGGAAGTGAAGACAGAGCCCAGTTGCACATGGCTCTTGCAACAGGTTTTAGAGCATGTGCTATGATTTGACTTTACGGCATCCACTGATCAGCTTTGTTTCTGCTTGTGGTTTGGGCTATTGCAGTGGTTGTGCAAGGCCTTTTCCGGAAAACTCTTGTGTCAGAGTGTGCAAAAGCTCCATTATATTGTCATTGGGAAGATATTATTGGTTTTCTAAAGGGCCTTCCACCCTAGATGTTTTCTTTGGGATGGCCAAGTTCTGTTGCCCATTATATGTATGGGACATCCAAATGACATCCTGATCACATTATGTGAAAGGAGTTTTTCAAAATGGATTTTTTAAAAATACAGCATGTGAGCTCGTAGTTTTCCAAACCACCATCTCATTTATAAAGTAATTATTTTAGTGAGAGCTATTGCCTTCAAGGTCTATTTTTAGGCTGCCAGCTGAGACCTTATTGGCCAGGATAGAAGGGGTAGACAAATACACTAATATCAAATTCTCTCTTTTTTTTTTTAATGTCTCACTTTATAAATCTTCCACTTTGGGTACCTACTTCCCCAGACTGCATTTGGACAACCATTTTGCCTAACGTATACTGTATTTCCAAACAATGTCCCTTTAATAAAATGCATTAATACATAGTTTTCATGCCTAGAGGCAGTTTGGTACAGAATTTTCTATAATATTCTTTGGGGGGGTGGGGCAGGGGGAAGAGTTTCCCTGCACTATTTGGAAAAGCATGAATGTTAGGTGACGGCTAAGTTGTAGTTTGGGTATTGGTTTGAAAATGTAAAATTTGATATGTCTTATTTATTTAGTTGATTTATCTACTGGCTTTCTGTTAAAAGAAGGACAAGGTGTTCTTTCACATCTCCTCACCTTCAAGCTCGTAGATGCCTACATGTGTTGGGTACAGAAGGAGATATTGCAGAAGGGGCATTCCAAGGTGGTTTTCAGCTGGGTGCTTGTGTGCGTATTTTTGTGTATGCGTATGTGTTTTCTTTTCTCTCTTGCAGGGCTGTCTCCTCTTGGTGTGTGACTTCAAAAACACGCAAGAGAGACCTGGCTGTATGGGACTTGGAACCACCCTCGGGGCAGGTCGGCAGCCACAAGAATTTATAAAAGGAGTTGCTTTAGAGGGGTCATCCGTTTACTCGCCTGCAGGGTCTGGCATTTCCTGCAGCCTTCAATACCAAGGGCCACTTAAGCCCGTCTTGTTGACCTCAAGCGGGACCAGACTCAAAGGATTCACAATGGGGAAGGCGGTAAGGAGCTTCTCTTTTCATTTAGCCACTGAGTTCCAACCTCACCTAAGATCTCCCCTTTAACCAACAGATGGATCTGCATCATTTAGCAGTAGAATATGTTTCACTCCAATGATAAAAACCAGGACTGATTTTTGTAGCTCTAATTTCTATTAAAGGCATGGAAGATCACTAGCTCTGGGGATTTTTTATTTTTTTTTCCCATGGCCAGGCAGTAACTCTAGAGAGACAAGTGGTTTTAAAAAAGATTTTTTTCTGCTTGACACGCCAGTAAGCTGCTCACTCCGCCTTTTATGGGGTAAACCATAAAAGACATCTGGAATGAATCTTCTAACCAAGCTAGATGCTGTGGAGTTGATACCTGCCTGGTGTAAGGGTTTAAACAATTATGACAGCGCTCTTACAGAAAGGCAAAGAAGGTTTGGGAAATTTGGGGGCTTCTCCTGATCTATTTCTGGGACTGTATTATCAATGCTATTAAACAGAGAGGAACAGCTCTTTCCAACAAACATTTTGGTCAAGTAAGATTTAGACTAGCATTACAAATCTGGAGAAAGCAATATATTTCAGTGCCCTGTTTAAACACTTCCTAACAGGTTTCTCTGCATGTGGATGCAGGATATGAAACGTTGGAGTCAGAGTTGATGTATTCTAGGTGATGTAAACTTTATAGCTGAATTTAAAACATGGGTCCCATCGTCAATTCTTGCAAACCTCCAAAGATTAATTAGTTAATGAATTACCTGTTAATTAGATTTATATGAATTCTTTGGTTACTCATTTTGCTTCTTAAATGCTTCTTCAAGCCAAGCTAAACACCCAAATAATACCTTACTTTTTTCTCCAAATCCTGTTCAGCTCTTTACATAGTTGAAAAGATTGCTCAGTTACAGCATAGTTCACGCAAAAATGTAAGGGCAGATTGTTTTTATTGCTGTTTATAACTATTCCCTTGATGATTGTCAACTGGATGTACGAACAGACTCTACAGGAAGCCATTTCACTTGAAGTGATGAGAGGAATAATAGCGATGTTGTTGATGGGACGCTATATCACAATCTATATGTGCAAAGTCAGGGCCGGCCCTGCCCCTGGGCAAAATGAAGTCACTTCTTTGAGCGGCTGACCAGGATACAAACCATCATCTGTTGGCTGGAGCAGCTGCTTCACTATATGATTCTCTGGAGTGGCTTGTCAACTCAATTATTTACTCTGAAAGCTTCCCTCCACAATCATGCTTTATTTCTCTCCAAGATCGTGCTCAAGGTCATTTATAAGGGGTCTGGCTGGGTGTATGGCCAGCCAGGATGTGGAAGGTTGCACTTCTATTGCTGGGGAAGAGAAGTATAGGAAGAAGTCTGCAGGGAGGAAATAGCAAATCAGCTGCCCCGCTCAAGTGACAGGTGTCACCAGATACCTTCAGCTGCGTGCTGAGATGATCAAGAGATGACTGTCTAAATTTAAATCAGTACGTGTGTGTGTGCGTGCATGCATAGAGGAGAGAAGAGCAGAGGAAAAGAAAAAAAAGGAAAACAACATAGAAGATGTATATAAAACTGACATTCTAGTTTTACTCTGTTGATTTCATTTTATTTGTCTTTGGTGTGCTACCCAAATTCCATTAGGGTTGGGTTGGGTTATAAATTTTGTTAAATAAATCAGTCTGCAGAAGGAGCAGCCAGATTGTCCTTCCCCCATCTCTTCCAGAAGGCACATTCTGCACTGATTCCAAGACTGCTGGACTAAAATACACACACACACACATTGGCCTGGCTCCAGCCCTACCATTACGTATAGCAAGATGGGTGACTTACAGATCTTGGGAGAACAGAAAATGGTTTCGTATTTACTTTAGTATTACCCCATCATTATGGATGAGGAAGAGAAAAATGTTTTAGTGATACTTCTACTCCAAAGTCCTGGAGTATTGTATACCTTGGAGAGGTGAATAAAAAGTTTCCATTTGTTGACCATGTCAGGAGACAACAAAAGGCTTTATGCCAAGCTAATAACCATCTTAGGGAGTAAAGGTAAAGAAATATGCATAGAGGGTAGAGTCCATGCTTGTCCAGTAGTTACTTAGTGAGAGGTGTTTGATCTTTCATTTTTATATATATATAATTTTATTAAAGATTTTTTAAAAAGAAGATTGAAAACGAATATAAAATGAGAAAAATAAAAGAAGAAGAAAGAA